GATGCATCACCCAGCTTCCATATTGCTGTGGTCCTTGTCAGTAGCTGCTGGGAGGTGATGCTTTGAGGAAATAAACCTGGAGGATGTCCTTCATTTTTATTCTCTGAAGAAGTTTTAAAGAGTAGTGTTTTAATGTCGAATATCTGGTCAGATGTTTCCTTTGTAGAAAGATTTTTAACAGGTAATACTTTCCCTGTTACCTATATGATGTATATTAAAGACTGGGGGGCGGGCAGCTGAAACCATAATAGTTCCCATGTCTGTCTTTTACGTACTGCACTGTTTAACTTATAAATTAGGTGCAGCAAGAGACTAACAAGGATAACTGATTATAATATAGTACAATTATAATATACTATAATAATAGTCATGTGAATGTAGTCTTCCTATCAAAATGCTATATTGTATTACAATTTCAGTTAAAAGAAAGTACCATCTGGATTCTTTGGGGGTACATCTGCATTCTTGGCATTATTAATCCTCTTGTTTTGGAACAATTATTAACTATGATAAGAGAAACATGGGCATAAGCATGGGTATACCCCAGCAGTTCATGGCTACTATGTGACTGCTAAGGGGATAACATACACAGTGTAGATATACCTTACAAAGGATGGGTGGGATTGGGTAGGGGAGTGTGGGATTCCAGCATCTACTCAGAAAGGGGCTCATTCTGAAACATGTGAATTGTTTCTTACTGGCAATTCTCGGCCAATGGTTTTGATCACAGGAAGTGAGAAAGTCCGGGGTGTGGGGAGATCACTGAAAACATTTGCTGTCGTTAGTATAAGATTATTCAGATTTGGGGGGTTTTGCTTGGTTTTGTGAGTTCTGTGTTTTAGGTTTAAATTTTAAAGTATTACTGCAAAGTTACCCGAGTACCTTAGGATTTTTCAGCTCTATAAGGGTCCAGTGCTGAAAAGATAATACAGCAGGCCAAGGTGTTTGCTGTGCAAGCACGGAGTCCTGAGTTTGATCCCTGAAGCTTATACAAGGTGGAAGGGAAGAAGCAGCCCCACATAGTAGTCCTTTGACCTCCACACGTGTTTCCTGGCCCACGAGCCTTTCCCCGTACATGCATGCACAATCCTCCTTATTGTGCACGATCTCCCCTATCACTCCTGCACATATAAACATCTCTGTCATGCATGCACATGGAAGCACACATATACATTAAAAAATAAAGATTCAGAAGTCAGGCAGTGGTGGTGCATGCCTTTAACCTCAGCACTTGGGAGGCAGAGGCAGGCAGATCTCTGTGAATTTGAGACAAGCCTAGTCTACAAGAGCTAGTCCAAGGACAGGTTCCAAAGTTATGGAGAAACCATGCCTCAAAAAAAATAATAAATAAAGATTCAGATGTGTTTCTTGTGTTGTGTATTTATTTTATTATTTCTTTAGGTTTCTGTTGCTATTTTCTCTTTGTCAATTTATAGGTAACTTATAGGATCCAATTTCTTTTTTGTTTTATTTTTTAAAAGAAAAAACTGTATTTTTATTTTACATACCAATCCCAGTTCCCACTCCCTCTCCTCCTTTCATTCCCTCCATCAACCCCCCACTCCACCTCGCATCCACTCCTCAGAAAGGGTAAGGCACATTGCTTTGGGGAAGGTCCAAGGCCCTCTTACTATATCTAGATTGAGCAAGGTATCCATCCAAAGAGAATAGGTTCCAAAAAAGCCAGTACAAGCAGTGGGGCTAAATCCTGGTGCCACTGCCAGTGCCCTCCCCCTCCCCCCAGCCAGTTTACTCCAGCCATATAACTGTCACCCACATTCAGAGGGACTAGTTTGGACCTATGCTGGTTCCTTCCCTGTCCAGCTGGAGTTGGTGAGCTCCCATCAGCTCAGGCAAACTGTTTCCGTGGGTGTACGCATCAAGGTCTTGACGTCTTTGCTCATATTCTCACTTCTCCCACTCTTTATAAATCCACATTAGCTGATTTTAGTTTGTTTTCATAACATTTATCTAAGGCTTTAAATTTTCTTATAATCCTAGCTGAACTACATATGATGACTTTTATATGCCCTGTGTTTATGGTCATTCAAATAAGTAAATTTCCATTTTCCATTGAGATAATACATTTCTAGAGGCTGGAGAGGAGTCTCAGCAGTTATGAGCACTTACTCTCTTGCAGAAGACCTGAGTTTGTTTCCCAGAACTTACACTTGGTGGTTCCCAAACAACTGTATCTCCAACAGCAAGGCATCTGACACCTCTTCTAGTCTCCATAGGCATGGTACTCAAAAGTGCATACTACATACAGTTGCACACACACACACACACACATACACTTAACAATAAAGAAAAAAATCTAAAAATAAGGTTTGAGTTATTTAGACCAATAGCCAATGAAAATGTCTCCTTCAAGCCCAGAATGACCACATCAGCTTTTTTTCCCTCCTGATTTTCATTGATAATCAAATGAACTCCTCTTGTTGCCCCCATTGCAGTAGTTGGAATAAAGAAAGGCACTCAGTTTCTATTAGTAGGAGGAAAAGACTATTAAAAGGTCAATATGGTAAATTTAAAACATAATGCTAAATTCCTTTGAATGAAACTTTAAAGGAATATCTTCAAATTATCCTTTAGCAGCTTTATAGTATAATATATTTTTAATGTACTAAATCAGTAATGAGAATAGTTTTCATTAAAATACATTTATTAGTTGTTACTGTTACAAGGAACAGTATGGAAGGTTTTGGAGAGAGGAAAGGGAAATGAGAGGTAATGCAATTACATTATAATTTCAAAAAAATAAGAGAAATATTTTTCATGATAAATACATTTAATTGACAAAATAAAAAAATGTTGCATTGCCTACCTTTATCATTTTTATTACAAATGCATGGCCAGAAGCAACTAAAGAAAGGCCTGCTTATTTTGACTCACATTTCAAGGGTCTATCATGGTAGTGGAGGACAGATGGCAGGAACCAGAGGCATGTGGTTGCATCATGTTCACAGTCAGGAAGCAGAGAAAGATGGACACTTGTGTCTGCTTGCTTTTTTCTTTATGTCCGGCCTGGGACCCCGGCCCATGGGATGGTGCTACCCACATTTAAGATATGTCTTCTCACCACAGTTAAGCCAGTCTAAAAACTCCTTCACACATATGCTCAGAAGTTTGTTTCCTATGTGATTCTAGATCCTTCCAAGCATACAACAAAGATCATGGCAAATGGGATTTTTTTTCTACTCATTAAAAAAGAAGCTATATTTCACTACTCTAGGGAGCCTCTTCCAGGAATGAAGAAGGCCTCCCTTAAAGAGTTTTGTAGGTAGTGGTTGATTTGTTCTTCTCTCCCTTTCTTTCTTTCTTTCTTTCTTTCTTTCTTTCTTTCTTTCTTTCTTTCTTTCTTCCTTCCTTCCTTCCTTCCTTCCTCCCTCCCTCCCTCCCTCCCTCCCTCCCTCCCTTCTTCCCTCCCTCCTTCCCTTCATCCCTCCCTCCCTATTTTCCTACCTTCCTCCCTCTTTTCCTCCTTCCCTTTTTCCTCCCTCCCTCCATCTCCTCAATTATCTTCCTTTCTCCCATCCCTCCCTTATTTCTATTTTATTTTTTTTCTGCTTTTTGAAGACAAAGTTGCATTCTGTAATCTAGACTGTTCTGGAGTTCACTATGTATCCTCTTAGACCCAACTTGCTGAAAACCTCCTACCTCAGCCTTCCCAGCTCTGGGACTGATGTATCATAACACCCAGCCATCTTGCCCCTCTTCTAATCCTTATTTCAGTGGTTCTTGGAAGGAAGCATTGAATACACTGTCCATGGAGAAAAGTCTTCCCTGGGAATAGGGAATATAAATAAGGAAAGACTGTATATCAGAACTCCAATCATGAAAAGGACTTGGAATATCAGGACAACACCATTCTGTCCAAGGAAACACTGGTGTAAACAATGATTTCTCCTTCAGTTCAGCCAATTCTGCCTAGTTGGGAGGAAAAATGTGTCTCATATTTGATTTCATTCTTATCCTTTTTTTAATAGAACCAACTGTCAGTAATTTTTATTACTTTTAATATAATTTGACAACAGGGAGAAGCTGGACCTCAGCTGTTCTCAGAGGATAATGAAACAGAATCAGCAATCCACACTCACATTTGTTTTTTGGTTTTACCACTACAAGCTCCTCCGTTTAAGAACCAAAGTGACTGGACAGAGAGGCCAAGAAGCCAAGTGACCTAAATTTCTAAGAAATAAGGAGAACCAAAGCCCTGCTGTGGCAAGTGATGATGTCTTTGAGACACTGGATGAAATCATAGTTGAGAGGTGGCTGCGTGCAGAGGAGGACAAGAGGCTAGGGAACAGTGCAATGGTTTGGGTTTAATTAAAAAAAAAAACGAAACTCATTCAAGTATGTGTTGTGCCCCTCCACTTCTTATCAGTCTCCTTTGTTCTGGTAGACAGTTTTTTCTTTCATGTCATATATACCTCATAATTCTTTGTATCTATATAAAATAGGAATCACAAATAAGCAAAAACATCTGTTATCTATCTGTTTGAAACTCTCTTGATTCACTTAATGTGGTCATCTTCAATTGCAATAAAATTTTGCAAATGACAGCTTAATTGTTCTTTATGACTAAATCTCTCTCTCTCTCTCTTTCTCTCCACCCCCCTCTCTCTCTCTCTCACACACACACACACACACACACACACAGAGAGAGAGAGAGACAGAGAGAGACAGAGAGAGAGAGAGAAACACAGAAATTCTACTTATGCATTTTTTTTTGTTTGTTGGATTCCTAGGTCGGTTCCATAGCTTAGCTATTATAAATACGGCTACAATAAACATTGATGTGAAATTAGCTCTGTTATTTTTAACAAGGAGACCCTCAAGTCAATATCCTTGAATGATGTAGTAAGATCATATGATACATTTATGTTTAATTTTCTTCTTTTCTTCTTTTGAGAGACCTCCATTCTGATTTCTATAGTATTTAGTTTACATTTTCAACTGCCGTGTATAAAGATTCCACCTTGTTCACATCTGATGGAGGAAGGTAATTGGTTAATTATAATAAACCAACTGCTTGGCCTCATAGCTTAGAACATAGGTGGGTGGAATAAACAGAATAGGATGCTGGGCGGAAGAGGAAGTGAGGTCAGACTCTGCTCTGCTCCCGGAGAGACGCCATGCTCAGCTCTGCCGGAGAGACACGATAGCTCTGCGCTCTGAGGCAGACACATGAAGCTCCCCAGGATGGACGTAGGTTAGAATCTTCCCGGTAAGCGCACCTTGGGGTGCTTACACACATCATTAGAAATGGGCTAGTCCAGGTGCGAGAATTAGCCTGTAAGGGTTAGAGTTCATGGGCCAAGCAGTTCTTAAATGAATCAGTTTGTGTGTTGTTATTTCGGGCATGAGCTAGCCAAGCGGCCGGGGTGTTGGGGACGCAGCCCAGCCGCTCCTATTTCAACACACATCCCTGCCAATATTTGTAGTGCTTATACTGTTTTATATTTTTAATTTTAATCATTTATTAATTTTATTTCTTCATATTATTATATTTCTTCAGTTGTAGGTCCTTTCTGACATTTGTCTGATCTGGAGGCAAGGACTATCATGCCTCATATTGCAGTTTACAGTATTTGCTTTGGTGAACGTTGATTGTAGGCTGAACTGACAAGGGAAAGATGAAGGTTTTATTTTTATTATGAAAAAGAACATTGTAGAAAGTGTCAGGGATTTCAGCTTCTTACATAGACTGTAAATGACAGGTAGCCCTTAGTTTTCTTTAGCACAGGGAGCTCTGGACAAAGCAGGTGCAGAGAAGTTTCCAGGACTGAAAGTTTGATGTTTTGCATGGCTGGAAAATCTCACTGCCTTAGATAAGGAAGATGAAGGACTCGTATTTGTTTAAGCTTTAGAATCCTGGGCACTTGAAGCAAGGAGAAAACCTATGGTCCTAGTGGAAAGAATAGTTAAAAAATCTCTGTCAATTTAATTTGATATTAGCTGTTGGCTTGCTATATATTGCTTTTATTATCTTTAGGTATGAACCTTGTATCCCCAATCTCTCCAAAACCTTTATCATAAAAGGGTGTTGAATTTTGTCAAATGCTTTTTCCGCATCTAATGAAATGATCATATGGTTTTTTCTTTCAGTTTATTTATATGATGGATTACATTGATAAATTTTCGTATGTTGAACCAGCCCTGCATCTCTGGGATGAAGCCTACTTGATCATAATGGATAATTTTTATAATGTGTTCTTGGATTCAGTTTGCCAGAATTTTATTGAGAATTTTTGCATCGATGTTCATGAGTGAGATTGGTCTGTAATTCTCTTTCTTGGTTGGGTCTTTGTGTGGTTTTGGAATCAGGGTGACTGTAGCTTCATAAAAAGAGTTTGGCAATGACTCTTCTGATTCTATTATGTAAAACACATTAAGGAGTATAGGTATCAGCTCTTCTTGGAAGTTCTGATAAAATTCTGCATTAAAACCATCAGGTCCTGGGCTTTTTTATTACAAAAAAAAAAAAAAGTCCGCAAAGTTTCTGAAAGTTTCTTGAGATTGTTCTTATGATATTTTGGTGAAGTAAGTGCTGCCTTTTGCCCTTGCCTAAAGAGTTTGCCTGAGGCTAAACTGAAGAGTTTTGGATTAATTCTGAAAAGGGTATGGGAGATTGAATGTAATTGACCCCCATAATCTCATAGAGAGTGGCACTATTAGGAGATATGGCCTTGTTGAAGTGGGTGTGGCCTTATTAGAGGGAGTGCAACACTGTGGGGGCAGACTCTGAGGTTTCCTGTGCTCAGGCTACTGCCCTGTGTCTCAGTGGTCTTCCTAGTGCCTGCAAGATGTAGGACTCTCAGCTACTCCTCCAGTAGCAAGTCTTGCTGCATGCCTCTATGCTCAGCGCCATGGTGATAATGGACTGAATTTCTGAAACTGTATGTGAGCCTACTCAGTTGAATGTTTTTCTTATAAAAGTTGCTGTGGCCATGGTATCTTTTCACATAAATAGAGACCTTAACTAAGACAGAAGCTGGTACCAGGGACTGGGATATTGCTGTGATAGGCCTGACCATGTTTTCATTTGGAGGAATTTGCAATTTGATACATTGGGTTTGGAAAATGGTGGGCTGCTTTCAGCACTGCTTAATGGGCCATACTAGTCGAAGCATGGAAGATAGTAGTGCTAAGTGTTATTTGAACTGCGTAGGACTCACTCAAGAGGTTTCCGAGGAGAAGAATTTTAGTATTTTGCCTTGAGATTGTTCTTATGATATTTTGGTGAAGTAAGTGCTGCCTTTTGCCCTTGCCTAAAGAGTTTGCCTGAGGCTAAACTGAAGAGTTTTGGATTAATTCTGTTGGCAGAGGAAATCTCAAAATAGCCTGGTATAGACTCTGTTTTGTGGTTACTAGTGTTAACTCTAATGAAGATTTATAATGAAAAGGAGCAAGCTGAGCAGGATAAATTACAAAATGTAAATTTTGAGGAGCAAAAGGGCAACAGGAAATAGTGGTAAGCCTTCCCGTGGTCGTGATGTCTCTTCACAGCAATGAAAGCCCTGACTGAGCCAGAGGGGAAGCTCTGAAAGCATCAAGTTTCACAGAAACATCTTCTGCTCCTGGAAAGGCTCTGGAGGATGCAGAGAGCAGCATTCCTGATGATCTCTGGGAGAAGGATGCTCTATTCTGGCTCTCTTGACAGAAAAGTGAGAATGTTCCCAGAAGGGTTGCTGCAGATGTAGCTGACAGTGCAGCCAAGATCTGATCCTCAAAAAGTCTTCATGGGAAAGTGCGTTATGAATATTTACTTTAGAACCTAGTCTTTTTATGTTTTAAAATTCTTTGAAAATTTCATACACATATATAATAAACTTTGACTTTTTTATCACTCATTACTCTTTCTTATCGCTATTCCCTGTCCTCCTTAAACCCCTCTTCTTCCCAGCAAGGTTCCCCCTTGCTTTGATGTCCTTTTGTGTGTATGTGATGCACTGAGTTTAATTATGGCTGCACATATGAGCATGGGTGGGGGATTATCTACTAGAGCATGGGCAAGTTGGCATGTGACTACAGCACTAAAGAAAATGACTCTTCTTCCCCAGTACCCATTAACTGTCCACAGTTTCCTGGACAGTGGGCCTTCGTAATATGGTGGTCATTCATCTATGTTGAAGTGTTGCAAGGTCCAATCTTGTGAATTTCATCTGTACATAACCATAGCTACAATGACTGCATGAGTGTGGTAGGCTTGTCACATCCAGAAGGCACTCTTGAAGGATTTGCCTCCCATCTTCTGGCTCTCACATTCTTCCTACACTCTCTTCTGTGATGTTTCTTGAGTCTTGGTGGATGACATGGGGTCAAGGAAGTGATGGGGAATGTTCTGTTTTGGGCTGAGAATTAACCAGCAACTTATTCTCAGCCTTTTGACCATCTGTAAGTGCCACCATCTGTAATTGCCACATATGGCAGAAAAGCTTTTCTCATGAAGGTTGAGAGCTGAAACAGTAGGTTTAAGTATAAGACAGGATGATAACATGTTATTTTAGGCAAACTACAGTAGTAGGTTCTCATCTAAGACTAATGACCTCCCTAGTTGTCTTAGTCAGTGTTCTATTGTTGTGAGGAGATACCGTGACCATGGCAACTCTTATATCAGAAAATGTTTAATTGGAGATTTCTTATAGTTTCTGAGGCTTAGTACACTGTCATTATGGTGGGGGACTATGTTATCATGTAAGGATTCATGAGGCTAGAGAATTAGCTGAAAGCTCTAAATCTGGATCCACAGTCAGCAGGAAGAAAGAGAGTCACTGGGCCTATCTTAAACTTCTAAAACCTCAAAACTCACCCCTAGTGACACACTTCCTCCAACTAGGCCACACCTATTCCAGCAAAACCACACCTCCTAATCCTTTTCAAACAGTGCCACTCCTTAGATACTAAGCATTCAAATATATGAGCCTATGGGGGCCATTCCTATTTAAACTACCACTCTAGCCATGGACTCTTGACCATATTAATGGTACAAGGCATAAATTCCCTTTTGTGGAGTAGGCTTCAAATACAATCAAAATGGTTGGTTTTGGTTGGTTGTCCCCATAATAATCATGCCATTGTTGTACCAGTGGGCAAGTCGATGACCACTGATAAGTTTTCTCTCCCATCAGCAGGTATAGCACCTTCTAGCACTATGAAAAGGTAGGCATCAGGGAGAAAATTTCAGCTCAGCTATAGTTCGATTTCTTGGTATTCCGCAACCAAGCATGTAATGTAATGTACTTAGCAATAGAGTCTTCCCATCTAGCCCTGATGGGCAGCAAAGAGAAATGGCAATAACCTATATTCTTTTGGGACCCTGGGGGCTTTCTGACCAAACAAGTCATAGGAAAGTATTCCATACTTGTCACTGGGATTTTCATTTAATAGCCTATGGCTCCTACGGGAATCATTATTAACCCATACAGGGTGTCCCTAGATCCGCAGTTTAAAAATTAAATTTTAATAGACTTACAAAGTAGTAGTTTTTATAGATCTTTTTTTCATACATTCTTAGTTTTGCGTAACCTTTCCTTCTCCCTCCTCCTGTTCTCTATTCCCTGACTCTCAGTTCTGCTTAAACCTTTCCACCCACATCTTCCTTCCATGTACCTTCACAATGTTCATGCCCTACCACACCCTCCCCCTTAGTAAGGCCTCTTCCCTCCCTTCTGATAGCGCGTTACTACATCCCTGGCTCCTTTAGGCCCTACAAGCTAAACTCATTAGTTTTAGAATTCGAAATTGGTATTTGTATATTCTGAAGTAGTGATGAATGGGTGGGGTGGGGCTCAGCACATTGTGGCCAGCACCATCCATGTACAGATAGTCCTGAGGTATATAAGAAAGGAAACTGAGCAAGCCAGTAGACAGCATTCTTTCATGACTTCTGCTTCAGTTCCTGCCTCCAAGTTCCTGCACTGACTCCCTGGAGTAAGATTTGGGTCTGAAATAAACCCCCTTTCTCCTTGCTGCTCTTGTTCGCGGTGTTTTAGAAGCAATAAAAATGTAAACAAGACTGCTACTCTTTGATCGCTTAGTTAGCGTCACATAGCCCAGTCACTCTCTACATAGTCTACGTTGCTCATTATTACCTCATTAAAAATGCTTAGAACCTCATGACTTGAACATGTTCTGGACACTTCTGCCCCATCATTATTCTGTTACACAGTACTCTTGGAATAGCCCTTAAAGCACTGACATTTCATCCAGCACACATGAGACATGAATACTAGACTTTAAAAAATATTCTCCTTTAATTGTAGTGTAGTGTTTTCTTTACATTTTTTCATTTTTGTTTTTTTAATGTAATGGGAAGCTACCAAATACAAAGGTGCCTCACTGTAGTTCCTGAGTGCTTAACACCAAACTCACTTTTTTCTTTGCTCCTCTTCTTTCTTCTCTGAACTTGTCAGATGGCGTGATAAGAACTGACTCTCTGGATGAGCTGTCATTTAACGGACAGCAGCTTGACATTTAAGTATGGGAGGAAGGTGATCAATGCTGCTTCCTGCCTCTCCGGTGAAAGGAAACTGGAGTTGGTGACACTTGGCATATCAGACCTTGGAGCTAGGGCAGTTCACAGCAGTAAGAAGTCTCACTGCTCTGTGCCGAGCATATTCGGTAGAAAATCCTTGTTAGCTTTCATATTCCACGCTGAGGGAGGTCCCTGTCATTAGGTCATAGAAAGCTAATCTGTTAGGTCATTTTATGGAAGGGCTCTGTATGTCATTCAAAGCACCCTTGAAACATAAAAGTTCTTTGTGTTTTTCTACTAATGACTTGGCATGGATTTTTATGTGAGCCAATAGATTCCTTTGACTTATCCACTAGAGTGGCATTGCTGAAACCATGCTAGGTGTGGCCAGCTCCATAGTGGTCACTCAGAGATGTTTGTCTTAGAAGGCACAGGTGATTCTGAATTGAGACAATTTCAACTTGTTTGTATAGCAGAGAAGTGTTGGGAAAACAGTCCACAGTAAATGCATGGGCAGATGGTGGCATTGACTCATGACAAAGATGCTACAGTCGTAGCTAGGGAGATAGCACAGTAAAACGCCTGCCATGGAGACCTGAGATAGACTTCCAAAACCTATGTAAAAAAATATCCATGAGTAGTAGTATATGCCTATAATCCCAGTTCTAAGGAGGCAGAGACAGGCAGATGCCTGAGGCTTTCTGGCCAGACAGATTCGTTTACTTACTTGGCTTAGCCAGTGAGTATACATGGAGCCAGGATTTCTTTTCTCATATCATCCCTGATGTATCCCTGCCATTAAGGTGAGAACAGAGATGGGTGAGGATTACCTGAGAAACTAAGCATTTTTATATGAATTAGAACCTGCTTCCCAAATGAAACTGTTCAAATTATTGCTGCATAGGCTGAACCCTAAGCCATGGAGTGCATTCATTCACTCTAAGCATTGAGTAGGAAGTTTCTTTAATGTAGGCAAAACAATTATGAATTTATAGTGTGAGCACCCCTCTGTACAAGATAAATGAAGAGCTCTAACTTTTTTCCCTGAAAAAAAGAATGATCAGATTTTGACATTTGACAGCATGTAATACGGACAGGTCTCTCATCTTGTTGCTGTCAAAGATTATCAGTCCAGGGTTCCACTGTGGCCGTTGGGAGCCATCTCCATCACATCATCCTTCTGTTTCAGGAATTCTCTCACTTACTCTCGAAAGGCTGTGTGGAAGGTTTAGATCTATTTAAAAAATACCCGCAATGGTCACAGAGGAGAGAAGGATAAATAGGCGTGACAGCAATGATGTTTGAGAGCAGTGAAATAATGTTGCACGATGCTGTGATAGATGCGGGTTATAAAATGGTCAAAACTTATTAACAACACAAAGCAGAATACTAGTGGACAGACCAGGAGATGCTGATATTCATGTGTCAGCGTTGGCTCACAGATTGTAAAAAGTGTGCCATATTGATGATGGTTGGGCTGACAAAGAGGAGGCTACATGCTGGGGAAGAATGGACTATGTGGCAACTTCAGACTTTCTCCTCAACTTTGCTGTTAAACTAAAACTACTCTCAATAACAAGGTTAATTAATTCAACTAAAAATAGACAATTCAAAGCAAACTAAAATATTGACACTGTTTTGTTGTGCCCTTCATCAAACTTTGTGAAGAACAAAGAATAACAATTTTCTAAAATATATGTAAAGTGCTCAACATAGCTAATAGGAACATATAAACCAAAGCTGTATTGGAATGCTGTCTTCACAGAGTCTGAAAGGTTAGAATTCTCCAACCACACTGAGAACATGGAGAAATGGGAATCCTTACTAGTATTTCTTTTTGTGTTGCATACCCTATAAGTTTTTATAAATTTATATATCATATTGTTCTCTGGTGGTATAACTATGAAAAGTTATAGATATTTTCAATTTATACAAAATATAATTGTAAATTTAAAAAGTTACCTATTGCCTCATCTGTTGGTCTGTCTAATTATGTGTCTATCTCTCTGTTTCTATCTATGTATCTATGTATCTATGTATCTATCTATCATCTATCTATCTATCTATCTATCTATCTATCTATCTATCTATCTATCATCTATCTATCCATCCATCCATCTATCTATCATCTGTCTTTCTATCATCTATCACTTTCTAGCTCAGAACCCCGTGCATGATAAGCAAGTGATTTATTGTTAAGGAAATATTCCTCCTGACCCTGAGCTATGTGTACGATCATAAATTCTGGAAATTGCAAGAGAATGGTTATTGTCTACCCACACTACAGAATATCACACAACTATATAAAGCAATGAATTTTATCTATTTTTATTAATCTAAAGTGACAACTGTAATATGTTTTAAGTGGAAAAGATACATATTGCAAAGTAATTCACATTGGATAGTCTGGGTTAAAAAACAAATGTGGCCAATTCATAGAGAAAAGGTAGCAGGATGTAGAATAAACCGTTATCATTGATTACCTGGGGAATGAAGGAAAAGGGGACATTGCTGGCTTTTTTTATTTGCTTGCAATGGTTTGTTTTTTATTGTTACAATAAGTAGGCTCTGATTTCGTAGCTTGAAAGGAAAATTCAATAAATTTTAGTAGAGATGAAACAAAACAACAAAAGGGAAGCTGGATGACATGGCCTCAGGGTCAAACATCTATAGACAATCAGACCTTTTATGTTGCCAAGAGTGACTGCCTCTTAGCAAAGCTTTTGTGCATTACTACACCAAGAAATGTTTGTTTTTCCATGCTTTGGGGATTGCTATAAAAAATAAGCTTTCAGCTTCCTGAGGTTGGTACATGGCTTGCAGCGGGATAAGATGTCTGTTAGTCAAGGCTCAGGAAATGGGGGAAAGGGGATACTATTTCATCTCCATCCTGTTCCTAAGTGGGTTTGTGCTCAACTGTGGAACAGTGTACAGGGTAATGGATCAAGCCCCATAAAAGGAGTTAAGGAACTCATTATTTTTTTCCATTAAAATGTGAATATGGACAAATAGCAAAACTTGAACATAATGTATTTATCATCTAGTTCTTACACTTCAAATTTAGAGGCACCTGTGCTCCTGGTGCTTTGTCCCTTCTGGAACTGACACTCTTTCAGCCTCCTATTCTGTGGGGTTCCCTGAGTTTGTGGGAGGGATTTGATGGAGGCATCTCACTTAGAGCTCTGCATTCCAAGCTCTCTCTCTCTCTCTCTCTCTCTCTCTCTCTCTCTCTCTCTCTCTCTCTCTTTCTCTCTTCTGGCTATAGGTTTCTGCATCTGTTCTCATCTGTTGTGGTAGAAAGCTTCTTTGATGACGCCTGATTAAAATACTGATTGATTCGTAATATCATTATTGGCATTTTAGTGTGACATTTTTGAGATTAATATTGCTTGGCTTTACTTTAGGTCTCTGGAATATCTGGTCTCCGGTTCTTGGTCACCCAAGCAGTGATGTATATGTGCTCCATTTCATGAAGTGGGCCTTCAGTCAAATCAGATGTGAGTAACTATTTGGGGTGATTCTGGCATATAATTTTTTCATAAGCAGTTTAAAAGTTTTAGTTAAAGGGCAACAACATCACTCCCCCTTTCCATTTTCATTGTCTAACTTTCCCCATGTTGTCTCCCTCTGACCTCTACCATGTAATCCATCACTTCTTAAATGATAGCCTCTTTTTCTTTCATACTTATTGTAACATATATAAATGCATAAATATATAAACACAGCCTGATGAGTCTGTCTGATTTCAAAGCTGACTATTTTTTATGGGATAAGCAATTGAGGGTAGGGGTGTCTCATTTTGGGGAATGACTGAAATTTCCCCTTTCAGCAGTGATCCTTGGAAACATTGGCTGTTACTGGGGGATATTCTTATGAAGTGGTCCATTTGTATGGTAGTGAGTATGAGCTGGCCATTGGAAACAAACCTCTTAATGGGGCTGCTTAGTGTGCTCCTGACATGAAAGTGGACTCTCTAAGAGGTAGAGGCATAAGAAAGAGCAAGCAGAAAGGCAAATATCTTTTATTAGCCAAGTTTACTAGTTACATGCTCTCACTTTTTTAAATTTATTTATTTATTAATTAAAGATTTCTGTCTCTTCCCCACCACCGCCTCCCCTTTCCCTCCCCCTCCCCCAATCAAGTCCCCCTCCCTCATCAGCCTAAAGAGTAATCAGGGTTCCCTGCCCTGTGGGAAGTCCAAGGACCACCCACCTCCATCCAGGTCTAGTAAGGTGAGCATCCAAACTGCCTAGGCTCTCACAAAACCAATAGGTGCAGTAGGATCAAAAACCCATTGCCATTGTTCTTGGGGCCTCAGTAGTCCTCATTGTCCTCTATGTTCAGCAAGACCGGTTTTAACCCAGGCTTTTTCAGACCCAGGCCAGCTGGCCTTTGTGAGTTCCTGATAGAACATCCCCATTGTCTCAGTGTGTGGGTGCCACCCCTCGCGGTCCTGAGTTCCTTGCTTGTGCTCTCTCTCCTTGTGCTCCTGATTTGGACCTTGAGATTTCAGACCGGTGCTCCAATGTGGGTCTCTGTCTCTGTCTCCTTTCATCGCCTGATGAAGGTTAATATTCAGGAGGATGCCTATATGTTTTTCTTTGGGTTCTCCTTCTTATTTAGCTTCTCTAAGAACCCGAATTATAGGCTCAATGTCCTTTATTTATGGCTAGAAACCAAATATGAGTGAGAAAGGAACGTCTGGAGGCATTACCATCCCTGACTACAAACTCTATTACAGAGCTACAGTATTGAAAACAGCTTGGTATTGGCATAAAAACAGAGAAGTCAACCAATGGAATCGAATAGAAGACCCTGACTTTAACCCACAAACCTATGAGCACCTGATTTTCAATAAAGGAGCTAAAAGTATACAATGGAAAAAAGAGAGCATCTTCAACAAATTGTGCTGGCAAAACTGGATGTCAATCTGTAGAAGAATGAAAATAGATCCATATCTATCACCATGCACAAAACTCAAGTTCAAGTGGATTAAAGACCTCAATATCAGTCTGAACACACTGAACCTGATAGAAGAGAAAGTGGGAAGTACTCTACAACACGTGGGCACATGCTCTCACTTTTTATTTATTGTTTTTTATTGGTTTATTTTAAACTTTATTATAAACAACTTACAAATTAAAAAGTCACAGACCAAAATTAAACAGACTCACAGGCTACACAACACAATGAACTTCTATAAAATTAGAGTAGTCACATTCTAAAATATTTTACTTTATTGTGTATGTGCCCTCATGCCATAACATATGTGTGCCATGACACACATATGAAGGTCAGAGGACAACTTGCAAGAGTTCATTCTCCTTCTACCATGTGATTAAACTAATGACAATATTCTCAGCTAGAAGTGTCTTTACATACTGAACCATATCATTGATCCATATGCCATCACGTTTATAGATGGCATTCCATTAAAAACAAGTCACTAATTGCAGGCTATACTCAAGAGAAGCCAGGTAAATCCCAACTTTTGAAGTAGCAAACAACAGACAGGTTTGGTATAAAGTTACAACGGCCACATAGTATTTGCTGCAACTCTGCTGCCTTCTGGCTCTCATGAACTGCTGGAAATTTCAAGTCTACTAATTTTTCCCCTGCTGATTTTCACTGTTTTTTTTTTCAAGATTTTCTTTAACTTCTCAGGATTTTGGTGATCCAAGTTCTTCATTCTGTTTTCTACTCTTTGTACTGCTCTTTTGCCAGAATTTTACATGCACTGAAGTCCATATATTTTCTAGACCTTGAAAATAGTCTTGCTTGGCTGGGCATGGTGGTGCATGCCTTTAATCCACTCGGGAGGCAGAGGCAGGAGGATTTCTGTTAGTTCAAAACTGACATGATGTACAAAGTGAATTTCAGGACAGCCAAAGAAACTCTGTCTCAAAAAAAAAAAGTCTTACTTGGATGATGAGAAGACAAGACAAGAGAAAATGGAGGTGCTAACATTTTAATCTGCAATTTAGTGACCAGAAGGACACCACCAAGATACCCAACTTTTACTCAACTTCAAGGCCTAGACTAGCAGCAGAACACATAAGCAGAGAGTGACCAGTGCTTGCTGTTGTAGCACACAGAAACAAGAGCTTCTCTGGTGAGCTGCTAGAGAGAACTTTTGGGAGAGTTGGGAGGGGCCGTAGTTGCAAGGGAGTCTGCTCAATTTATCACAATGGTTTTAGCACTGGTGGGGCTCTAATTCATGAGCTAGTGTCTGAGAAAGGGCACATTCTAAATGTCCTTTTAGAAGATCTACACACGAACAAAGAATTTATAGATGACTAGTATATCACTTTTATTAAAATATGACTGAATAATCAAGAATTTTACTTGTTTTGTTTTCCATTAAGTACAATGGAAAATCATTAAAAAAGATTAAAAATAAGTCTTTTGTAGCTATTATTCAACTTTTTTGAAATTATTCTGATATTTTGGGTGATCAACGTAAGGTCCCTTAAAAACATTGGTTCTCCACATGTAATACTAAATTTTGAATTGATTTGCCCATCTCCGGGGACAGTAGATGTTGTATTTCTCTAAGTCAAATTAACTTCTTTAATCAATTTCTCACCCATGAAAGGGTCAGCTTCCTTTCCTCTATTGGACTCGGTAGGGGTACTGAGCTTATGCTCCCCTGTAAGAATGTAGGGAGGAAAGTTTTGGACAGTGATAAAGCTGTTTCATGTCTAGGTCTTTCTTGGGAATGACCTGAAGTTTCTCCATGTCTGTGGCTGTTCTGTGGGTACCTTTGATGAGTAGAATTTGAAGAACTTTTATAGGGTAGGCAGTGAAAAGCACAAGATGTTAACAGAACAGGACATTTGAATGTATGAAGGCTCTGCTCCTGTTTGGTAAGGAGAAGCAAGAGGATAATGAGATCTTCACAGGCTTTTCCTTGGTTTTTTAGAATGTGCTCCTCTGGGGCAGTCTCTCTCCAAATACTGTATTACTCATTCATCCTGAGATGTTGCCACCAAAGAACAATCAAGCATACTTTGTTCATGTTATCCATACAGAAAACTGAATTTTCATCAAAATAGCAATGGAATCAACTAACTGTTAGTTTAGTTAGTCTGAAAATGATATAGGCTCTTTTGGAGAGAAAGAAGTAGGTAGAAAAAGCTCATGTTCTCGTGGTCTACTTATCCAACTATAAATAATGGATGCACTCACATATTCTAATTTCAGAATGGTCTAAACTGGTCCGTTTTACAGAATTTATTCTACATGGGTATTCATACATTTTTAAAGGCTTTTTTTCTTTTTCTTTCTTTTTGCTTATGAAGTGCTGTAGTACTTTGGGTGTGCAACCCTCTGTGATGAGAGTTTCTGTCAATCTGCTTCACCTTCTCCAGGGGATTAAAGAGCCTAGAACTGTGTCAGTCACTTGTTCCCTTGAAACAATTGTCTCCAGCCTTTCCGATGGAGGTCTTCATAATTCTGCAACATTTGAAGAAGTCACTTAGAATCTCTTTGCTTTAGTCGAAGATGTTCCTGAGTAAGAATCCACATGCTGCTTCATTGATAACAGTTCAGGGGAGGCCCATGGAGGATAATGTTGAGGCTGATGATGGAGGGGGAAGAAAGATGCTTTGTGTCTTTCCTGATGAGGCCATGACAGGAAAAAGAAACAAATTTTCACTAAATCTTTAGCAATTGAATAAAAACAGTATCCTAAAAAATATTAATTACTTTCCAGCAGTTGGGTTAGAAACAGCTCAACTAATCCTTATTTACCACAAACTTCTTAGGGTCAATGCTTAGCTCTAGTTTTTGCATCCTCAGTTGGCATTTCTCTCTTGAACTTCAGTAGATGCTATGTAAACACCAAATAAATTCTTAATTTTAGTTTTCCTATGTGTACAATCGCAACCCCAACTATCATTAAGTTCTCTGTCTCTGATATTTTCATTCTCTTCATGGCAATTTATATTTTAACATATTATTAGTTTCTTATGAATGTTATGATCCATCACTACAAATGGATAATTTTGAGCAGCAAAAATGGATTCTTCCGTTGTTCTGGAGACCAGAATCCCAACATATAGATAGTCAGCTGTCTGCTGCCACCAAATCATTGTTGCAGGTTGGCATGTAAATACATTGATCTTGTTTTCATGTGGACTCTCAGCATGTCTATCTCGTGTTCTCATAAAAAATCTTGTCACTAATCTAAGTTGATAAATTGAGGTCCCAATTGTATTTCAAAAACTCTTTTACAAAATAATAGGTCTGTGAGAATATACTGCTGAGTGTTTACCACTAAACCTACTGGAATCATCTTGTCTATTTAACTTGAGAGCTGGGTTCTTTTTTCTGATTTTGGTGCATAAACCTCTGGGTCCTTACTGCCTGTATCTGATCAGACATTTCTGGGATTGCAATAATCCATCATAATATAAGTTAGGGGACCCGAGCTATGGTTTTAATTTTTCAGTTTTCACTATCAGAAAATGTGATCTTGGATAAATTTAATCACTTT